TATACTATATATATATATATATATATATATATATATATATATATATATATATATATATATATATATGTATTATGTCTCTATGTAAATAATTATAATTTTAAAGCCTGTTTAACTTCAATGAGATAGATGTTCAGGTAAAATTTGTCTGGTGCAGGTAATTTTCAAAGTTACCTAGTCACCATTGCAGGAATGCAGAACAAAGAATATCAAGCCCTGATATTTCTTCCTACTGTACAGATGGGACAGTTGAGGTTCTGGAGAAGCAGTGGGAAGGGAGGGTTGAGTTCTTAGACGGGAAGAGGTTGAGAATCAGGAACGTTTCCAGACAAGACGACTCTTCAGCAGTACAAGGGGAGTATCGCTGCTCCCAGGGAAGCAGAGCTGGAGAGAGGTCACATCTACATGTCAGGCGTATGTACTAGAATATAAATATATATAATACATGTAATATACCTAATACCAGCCCCGAAAAGAACAAGAAATAGTCATGCTTTTAAGTACCAGAGTTATCAACCAAGAATTGAGGTGTACAAAAATTCATTCTTTCCTACTATATCGTAGAATGGAACTCGCTGTCACCAAGTACAGTAGGGGCATTATCATTGGATAGCTTTAAACAATGTTTAGAGTTATGTTGAAGGTTAGGTGTAACAAGTCTTTCGGTGTAATGTAGCCAGCTGCCGCCGCGCCGCGTGCCTGCCAAGCTGGTGTGTTACGCCGAAAGGCGGTTATACAGATACAGATGTAGTATAGGAGGTTACTATAGGTACTAGCCTAGGGCGATTTCTGTCAACACTTTTTTGTCAATCCTGTAGTCAGAGCAAAACAAATTCAAGCATACGTTTGTGTTGCCCAAAACATTTTCAGACCCTCCGAGCAGCGTAGCTATCAGCGGTTACAACAGCAGTTCCCCCTTGTACCCAGGAGACGAACTGCAGTTGTCCTGCGGTGCAAATGACAGCAACCCGGCTCCTAGCTATGCCTGGTACAAGAACGGCATCAAAATTGGTCCTGACGACAGAACAGTCAACATCAACCCGGTAAAACTGGAGAACAATGGAGATGTCATCAGGTCTGGTATTCCAAATCTTGTGATAAAAAAAAATTCATTTGCGCAAATACTGCACAAATTCATTGGTAGATAAATGGCCACTAACTGTTATATCATACATTACATCAAATATATAACAGTTTACTATATTATATAATATATGTCTGTTTTTTTGTACTGTTTGCTTGTTTGGCTATGGTATATATTATTTTCATTTTATCATTTATCATACACTAATATAAGAGTCCTTAATTTTATTGTGACTGCTGGCCAAGGAAGATATTACTAGCTACAGGTACTACTAGCTACTAACAGCGCACTCATAAACAAAGCCATGTAACCCTGCTTGATTTATAATACAAAGATTTGCTGATGCCACAGTGAAACTCAAATCTTTTCTTACAGTAAGGGGAATACATGGGGAGTGGTGAAATGAATTGTTAATATAATGTTACATTCAATTTTTCCCTGCTGTTTTACTTGATAGGTGTAAGGTGACAGTTCATGATGACAGAGAGCCGGTTTTCTACTGGGAAGGGCAAAGCCAAGTGAGGCTGTCTGTCAGATCTAGAGGTAGGTCTTGGTTAGCCTCTACCAGGCACCGCAGATCGCTGGAAAATTAGTAAATATATGTGACCTGGCATAATTAGGTAACATTATGAAACTCAAACATGAGACTAGTCTGAGTAGTAAACTGACACTGTAACTGTGTGTAATTCAACTATTTCTGTCCCGCTGAGATTACAATTTTTTCGTCCTTTGAATCCTTGCAGAAGCCGCTACCAACTATGGTGTTGTTGTTGGCATCCCAGTAGCAGTGGCTGCGTTGTTGGTAGCAGGAGTGGGACTTGGAGTGTATTTGAGGAGAAAACCTTCTAACAGGAAAAGAAGTACAAATGGAACTGCAGAAATTAGTACTGAAGGTATGATTTGAAAACCCTGGTTAGGGTTTAGCTAACTTAAGCAAGTGAGAGATAATTGTGTACAGTTGTATAAGTTTTTGTTCAATTCAGATTTGCTCCAGTCTCAGATATGTGACCTTTTTTCAGATATCCCTGAGTATTATACGAATTTAGACATTGCAGAACAAAATATTGTAACTCTGACAAAGATGAAATGTGTTTTTTAGTGCAATGGAGTTTAATTACAGGACCAACAGAACCTAAAACCCAGTCTCCAGTCGACTTGACGGAAATTTTGGACAAAGGAAATAGTACTGAAGGTGTGATATGAAATCTCTGGTTAGGGTTTAGCTAACTTTTATATAGCACATGAGAGATAATTATGTTAAGTTATATAAGTTTTTGTTCAATTCTCATTTGCTCCAGTCTCAGATATGTGACCTTTTTTTCAGATATCCCCGAGTATTATAAGAATTTAGACATTGCAGAACAAAATACTGTAACTCTGACAAAGATGCAATATTTTTAATGCAATGGGGTTTATTTACAGGACCAACAGAAACTGAACCTCTGTCGCGGAAGGAAATGTGGGACAAAGTTTTCGATATAGTAAAACCCGACCTGCATCGAGAGCATCGCAAACAGTTAGGAAGAAAACTAAACTTAAGTGAAGTAGACATAAATGCTATCGAAGAGAAGGATCTTAATTCCATAGAGAAGCTGCAACAAGTTCTGCTTTTGTGGAGAGAGAGAAACCCGTACAAGTCTCCTGCAGATTTGGCGGCAGCTCTACGGGAATGTCATTGTGATACAGTCGCAGACATGGTTGAAAAGTGTTGGGATGATTTTTTTTATGTACATAAAGGCCAATAGACCGTTCCCAAAGCCAAGCCCCCCCCCTAGCAACGCCCTAGCAACTCGAACACTGAGGGAAAAATTTGCGCTGGAAGGACCGCGCCGGCCGTCCCCGCCGCCAGAATGTTGGTTTTGCCGTCCAAATTTTGGGTCGAGTTTTCGGCACCAAAAAAGATCCCTGAGCAGCCTCCAAAAAGTGGTGCGCTATCTTTGTTGAAGAACACATAGGCAGAGTAAAATTTTTGAGGAGGGGAGAGGGTTAGTTTTAGTGAGAGCAAAAAGCCCAATGGGGACGCGGGATACGCCGCATTACATCACACGGTACGTACGTGGACAAGAGTGCCCAGTTGCTGACAAACAGCCGATGCATGTGTTGCGTATTTTTACGGTTTTCTCCTGCATTTGCTGCATGCATCACAGCTACATACAAGCCCATGAAAAAAAAATATAAAAGAAAACAGCTCGGGTGCTAACGAGAGAGGGCGCAACTAATAAAAAGGGCTTTATGATACAGGTAGAAACATAAGCTCGCAAACAGGGACATAAACAACTAGAGTCCCACGATCTCATACCTTCGCCAAATGATGTTTATCTTTATGACTGACAAAGATGATTCCTTCTAATTATGCAAATAGGATTCTCATTTGTATTATATTTATATTATAATATTGTATTATAATATTGTATTATATAGTTGATCGTATTCTCCATCAAAAGACAGCCTTATCTTAACAAAGAAAGCCATTCTATCATTTCCTCTTAAATTATGCAAATGAGGTCCTTATTTGAATAAGTTATGTTTAATGATATGATGTTCACCTTCACTTAATTTTCAAATACCCCAAGTATGAAATTCCAGGCAGTTAGCATTATGGAATTATAACATTTTCTCATTAATTATGCAAATCAGGTGTTAATTTACATAATCAATATCTGCCTGTGTTTCTCTCGTTCTCAATTACATGTCACAAGCTTGAATAGTCCTATAATGTGATGCAGCTGATTTATAGAATTTCCCCATTAATTATGCAAATCAGATCCAGATTTGCATAATTGTCGCATAATTATGTCAAGCGTCACTTGAGCTGCCTACATATATAACGTCCTTGCACATTTCAAACAAATCTATCTAGCGAAGTAGTAGCTGCCTTGCCAAAACCAAATGCCATGTATGCAGGTTCGGAAACACCACCAAACAGCCCAAAATATACCAATAATGGCCAAACAGATACTGGTAAGTCTCAGGCCATCACTGAATCCAATACAAACACCACGGCTACTGTAATGACCAGTGGTGATGATGAGGCAGGGCAGGGACAGTATAAATCCACCATTGAAAAATGTAGTTAAAGCTGTTTTAAAAATGAATTTCAAGTTGAAAAATTGTGGCTTTTTAAAGTCGTATTTTAGCGGACGTCTTGTACATTTGTTGAGTGCATGTACGCAACAAATGTACAAGACGTCCGCTAAAATACGACACACGGCCAGGAAAACATAACCTTCTTGGCGAAGGTAATAATGATAGCTTTATAAACAAATATTATAATAATAGAACGTCTGAGAACGCCTAAAAGAACGATTAAATTGCAATTACCTCCGATGCCACAAGCTCAGTTTCATCAACAAGGAGTTTTTATCAAGCAAACATCAACTCATTTTGCTGCTTTTTAGATTTCCCGCGCTGATTTTGCCCGACGTGTTCGAAAGAAAACAGGGGGGTTCGGGTTCGATGCGTTAGATCAGGATAGGTCTATTATTGTGCATACATATAACGTCCTTGCACATTTCAAACAAATCTATCTAGCGAAGTAGTAGCTGCCTTGCCAAAACCAAATACGCAGGTTCGGAAATAAAACCAAACGACCCAAAATCTACCAATAATGGCCATGGCAAACAGGGCATGGTCAGTCTTAGGCCATCACTGAATCCAATAATAAACACCACAGCTACTGTAATGACCAGTGGTCTTGATCAGACAGGGCAGGGACAGTATAAATTCACCATTAAAAATGTAGTTAAAGCTGTTGTAAAAATGAATTTCGAGTTGAAAAATTGTGACTTTTTAAAGTCGTATTTTAGCGGACTTCTTGTACATTCGTTGAGTGCGTGTTTGCAGGATTTGTGAATGGATCTTAAGGATATTTGGTGAATTATATTCATGGACAATCTAATTGTAATTTAAGTTGATATAAGTAATTTTAAGTTCATAAGAGATCTATTATCAAAGAAAGCCTCATAAGTTTGACGCGCTACTTCAGATTCAGTCGATAATAGAATATATCAATCCTCTATATTTTAAAATAGTTGTCGCCACTGCTGAAGTTTTTGAAAACGAACATTGCCTTTCAATAATGTTTTGTACTATCAAGGCACCTTGGGCACCAAAATTGTCAGTAATGCTAATAGCTAAATACTTCTGTACAATAATGTAACAATTAATGTATTATAATATAAATAATATAAAAAGAAGAAGTCATCATACAGTGTTAGAGCAAAAAGGAGAGACATATAGAAATACATAATTATATATGAATGTTTTATGTACAAATAAGCACTTGATAGTATAACTATACGCATGCATATGTCAACCATGAATGCACTGGCACCACTCTCT